ACAAGAGGCAAGAATGGCGTTGGGGAGAATTAGGGGACATTATGATGAGGGACAGATTCTCTTTGGAAAGTCCTGATAGAAAATACTCTATTTTCTAAACATTGGACAAAATCCACACTATATAAATAACAGTAGATGAAGAGACCAATTGCAGGTGATAATAACTACAATAGTCAGATATTAGAAAACATTTAATAAACCATAGCATACAAATTACAAATGTAATATTATAAAGGGGCTGGCTTGTAAAAGAGTAAACATTCTATGGATGGAACTGGACTGAAGAAGTAAAAGGTTATGGCTGGATATAACCTAAATCAAATAAATACTCGCATTGGCTGGAAAGAAGATCTAAAACAGTATTAATGATTGTTTCATATTTTAGCAACAGACACTCAGATTAATATGGATGAAGGATATAGTCAAAATTGCCATAAGCATTTTTTTTTCCCTTTTTTTTTTTTTTTTTAAATATACCTGAACAACTGAAATAATAGTAACATGTTCAAAATTTACCTGTTGATATTAACTTTTGAATTGGACATTTAAAGGAAGGAAAATTGGGCTTTGGAACAATAGTGGAGGCTATATTCAACAAAATAGGAGATAATAGATAGTTTCAAGTAGAAAAATTAAGTTAAATTTTAATTCAAGTTTGAATATTTTTGGAAAAATAAAAGAATGCAGTGGACTTTAGTTGTATGATTGAAGATCAGCTGCAACAGAATACTTTTGCTATTGTGAGTAATTCAGTGCCTAAAAATGGAGTCATTTTGAATTTTAAAATGAAACTTATTTCTGATGGAAGGTTTTCATGGAAATATGAACAACAAAATCGAATAACGAACAAGTGTATATATGTGAAAATATAAATGTGTGTGTGTATGTGTGTTTTTTTTTTTCTCATTCAGATTTTAGCAAAGTAGACACCTGACATTTACTTTTTTTTTTTTTTTTTTTTTTCCAAACAAGGGTATTATTATTTTCACTGAGACTAATTCACCTGACGGTGGTTATGACAATGAAGTATTAATCTATGGATAGTAGATAAGACAAGATACAAAGTTATCATTGGTGATTGGGTAGATAGAATTACTTTACTGAATAATTCAGCATCAGAGCACTTTGTGATCATACTGTAAATAAATATGCCTACATTTAACACAGATTGCTGGAGGTGGGAATTAAGTTTTTTTAAAAATTTTTTTTTATGTTTTTTGTAATAGCTGCTTTGCAACCTTCTTTAACATTAAGTTATTGGGTTTATTTTTCATAAAACAATAGAAGAAACTGATTGGTGAAGAATTGTGAATATCACAACGCTAGAACATTGTGATTAACATAAACTGTAGTTGATAAAGCAACAGATTTCACAGGGGAGATAATGCAACAATTTTAGATTTTGTAACAACTTGTTATTTATGTAGGTACATTTGCACATAAATTGAAGATGTAAACAGTTTGAAGATAGTTTTTATACAATTAACGTAGACATCAGAATGCAGACATAAGGAAATGCTTATAAGTTCAATGTCTGTATATCTATGTAAACATTGTGAGATATAGTTGATAATATAAGTAATATTTTCCATACATTTAATGTATGTACAAATTTATACACCTTGAAAAAA